GCAATGCCCATACAGCTGCCAGCCTGATGTGCTTAACACTCATTCATAGGCTAACTCATCAGTGAGCAGAAAGCAGTGGGTTCTATATGAACAATAAAGAATACAAATAACCTTTCACAAACAGGTATTTCATAACTGCTTACAGTAAGGAAGACATTTAAAGTATTATTGGCCGTCACAGGCTGCGGTAAACTAAACACCACTCTCTCTGACAGAACACCTCACTGAGTGATTTAACTCATATGTCTAACTTTCAGGTTTCTCTTTTCAGCCGCAGACCCCATGTCGCCTCTTTATGTGCGTCGCTAAGTTCCTCGTACTACTTGTGTACTTTAAAGCGGCTCGGCATCGTTAACAATTTGCGAGTGATTTTTCAAGTTGACCGTCTGTAGTAATAGTGCCGCGCACATATACCATCAGGACGTTACTGATGGGGTGCGGCTGCGGAGTGATACTGTGTGTATGCAAGTCCGGATCTAGGACGGATCTATGTATCATGGCTGTAGACCTGTTAAGTAATAAAGATACCTCATACAAAGGTCTATGGATACCTTATTACTCTCCATGACCTGCGGTCAACTATATAGCATAAATGACTATTACACCGTCTTTCTTGAACAATCCGAAGTGTTGCCAAACGTTTGATTTGTAGGTATTTTTCGGTGCGCTGTGTTTCTCTTTCTCCTCAACTTCCGTGTGTGTTGATAACTGAGACTCTCGTTCTCCGTAGTGGGGAAGCAAATATCAAAGATCGTCTCTGCTGAGCGTTGACAAGATGAGGGGATTTTATATGAATGAATCGTTTTTTTACCGATGCAAAGAAGCTACGCAATCGATGCATCGCGAGTTCAACCCGGTTCAACCCAAACTGTAGCCGATGTGCACTCTTTCAACCGGTGCACTCGCATCTTGAACGTTTATGCCGGTGCACCGATGCGAATTGGTGAATCTTAACATCTCTAGTGTGTGTACTGATTTTGCTGTTGATAACAACACACTGTAGCTTGAAAGTGACTAAAAGTGTCAATTAGCAACTGTGAGTGTGAAGTGGAGCTGTGTGCTCCACCACCTGCAAATACATGTAAACTGTCATTTCTACTGAGAGCAGTTCCGACCTATTATGTCAGATGTGTTACATTTAATTCCAAAGTATAAGGGCTGTATGAGCCGAGTGTGAGACAGGCTTTCATAACCTGTTTACTGCTCTGCTGTCTTTATTTTTGAATTCTATAACTCCAAAATAAGCTTGAGGTAAGAATGGAGCTTATTCTTCACACTTATAGATCTTAACACAAGAAAGACAGCCATAGTTCTGTTCTGGTATTAAGGATCTTGTCAGAAGTTTACAGACCGGTCTTATAGTTGCATAGAGGTGTAGTGATGTGCGTGTTCTGTACAGCATTACATTAAGAGGTGTTTCTAATATTCATATGAGTTAGGAGGCAGAAAAAACCCTTTGGAAAAATGTCTAAATGTAATGTAGTCCAGTACAACTATGACTTCAATAATAAATATTAACTTCATGTAAACATTTCCACGCATGCCAACAAAATGTAAAGACTACTAACTTGTTTCTGTTTATTTTATGACAGAGTTGTTGTATTGAGTTGCAATCATTTGTAAAGGTGTACCTAATAAAGAAAACATCATAGATTTAACCAGCAAAATGTCTTAATCTGTTCCAATGATATCTCGTGTACAGATGGTGAAGCACACACAAAAGAGAACTTTTGATATAGACAAACAAATATTTACAATTCTCAGTTTCAGATAAACATTTCGGTGAGGTGTCATTGGTATAGAGAAAGAACATAACGTAAACAGTGGTAACTGTTTGAACCAGAGCCTTCAATAGATCATAAAGTCTCACCTCGTTAAAGAGGAGTTCTCTGCGTTGTTGTTTCCTCAGGTCCATCTTCTTCACAGCCACCAGCTTCCCGGTGGTCTTCACCGTGGCGATACAGACGATCCCGGTGGACCCCTCCCCTATCTTGATGTAGTGGTCCAGGTAGGTCCTCGGATCACCAGGATCCACCACCATCTGTAGCGCTGCTCTGAACTGCTCATGAGAAACCCTCTGGGGCTCCCTCTGCGGCGAGCGGCCCTGGCGCGGAGCACCTGGGGCCGGGGGCCCAGAGGGTGCTGGGGGCCGGGGGACTGGAACGCTTGGGTGAGGGGTGTGTGGGTGCTGAGTAGCCTCAGGGGTCAGGCTGGGATGGGATGTGTGATGAGGGTGGCTTACAGGGGGCTTGGAGCTGGAGGAACCTCGAGAGGAGCCGCTGGAGGGGCCGTTCTGAGGAGACTCATGGTGTCGCACAGGCTGCAAAGAGAGACCCTCATCACAAACACAACATAGGCCGAGTATAACAATCTACAGCAAATAGTCTTTCAGGCGTTGTAGATGTATTATTTATATAGAATATGAATACCCCATATAGAAGGAAGGGGCAATATGGAATGAATCCTCTGTTAGAGAATATGGAATTTGATTTCACAAGATATATTCATTTTGTCAGAAAAAAACTTTTGATAGATAAAATTACAAAAAAAGATTTGTCTGTTTAAGAGTATACTAGCAAATTAAATACCTGGAAAATCCAAGTACTTTCAATTTATGCAAAAGGCAAGAACTGATCAAATGGAACAATAACCTGCTGACTGGTGATCAAAATGACCAGGAAAGACCTTATAGGGATATCAGAGGGTATGGTATACATGATGTGGGAAGACCTTGGATTTACTGTTCATTTCAAATCCAAAAAGAGCTAACATCTAATCTTTAAGTGCATTTCCCTCTGAACTGTCTGAATAGTTTACATTTGCTTTCATTACATCATTCTTTAAAGCCCTTTGGCATAAAGCTTTTTTTTTTTTTTTAAAGCCATCAACTTGAACTGCTTGAATACTCTCACAAGCATCGCTGACTGCTGAACAAAGAGCAAGGTGATAAGAGCTGCTCAATTTGCACTTGTCTGCCTTTTCTCTCTCGGTCAATAGCTTCCCTCTGGGCTGCCCGCCCTCTGTCCATGCTGCTGTCCATACCTGTCCCGTGGGGCTGCGTCCGCCCTCACTGTCCGTCCTGGGGTAGGTGTTGAATGGCCGTGTGTTCTGTTGTGTAGGTTTCATCACCCCCTCTGATACTGGCAGGCTAGGGGTGCGGATGTTAGGTCCAGAGAGAGGCCTTTTGTCCCTGGGAGACTGAGGGCTGCCATCCCGCACCATGTAGCTGGACTTTGGCCTTTGGTCACTTGGTTGATCCATCTGAAAAGAGGCAGGGTTTTGTGGAGAGATAGACGGATCATTAGGTAGATGGGTTGTCAAATGTAAGGATGTATCAATGTGAGATATACAAAGATGAGCATGATCGCAGCGAATATAAAAAAAGAGCAATTTGAGTCCTGTAAACAGGAATTACTAGATCAATAAATCTGAAGCTGAAGCCCCACCTGGTCCCGGTCCCGATGCTCTCTGTCTCTGTGAGGTGGGGGAGGGGGCCCAGAGCCCGGTCTATCCCTGTGGGCCCGGCTGGGCTCTTGGCCCCGGGGCTGCTGCTGAGGCCGATCCTGACCTCCCTCCTCCCACTGAGGAGGACGGAGTGCACGTGGACCCTGGCGGGGGTCACCTCCACCCGCATGGTGGTCTGGTCTGGGTCGGTCTCTGAGAAGCAAAAATCAGAAACATGTGGTGAAATGCCTCATCGGCTGGTATTGACATAACATCTGCTTTGGTCCCGTTTCAATCATTAAGATAAGATGCTGCAGTTTGACTCTGTACCTGTCTTGTCTATCCGGGTGTGGGTGGTGTCTGTGGTGAGGATCTCCGTTCTCCTGCCCCCCTCCTCCTGAAGAGCCCGAGTCCTTGCGAGGATGGATTGGGGGACTGCCTCGTCGCAAGGAGTTGGAGCGTGTCACAGACATGGTGTCAAACTCATCCAACAGCCATGTCAGAGAGCCGTCCACTCCCAGCTTGCTGCCACGCACAATTGTCTGGAGATATTAAAAAAAATTCAATTCGATTTGAGGATAGTGAACATGAGAGGCCCCAATATAAAAGCTTGTCATCCCAATTAGCCGCTTTGGTAAAACCATGTATCTATTTAAAAGTGGTATGAATGAGAAATTGGCACTATTAAATGATTCTAATCACAGTAAAAGAAAAATCTATTTAGTTACAGAATAAAATCATTCCTACAAAACTTTACAGATAATAATTTCATTAAGTGCTACCAACTTTATAAATATCTAAGAATTAAGATAACAAGTAAGTGTCTTGGGTAGCTTAACATCAGAATCTTATAGTAGCACGCATGAGTTGGGATGAAATATAATTGAAAGACAATCATTTTTCATGAACTCTGTTGTTCTCTAATGTAATTATCTTGTTTTTTCCATGTGTGTTCATTATTTGGTATTTCTCCTTTAGTTCTTTTTTGGAGCAAGTGACATTTTGGTGACATGTTGAAATCTCAAAAGTAATTAAACCATCATCCAACAAAAATGTTGTATAATGTAGTCAAAATACAGCTGGTATGTTTAACACATTTGTTTTTACAAGCCCATGATTTGATTGTTGATTAGATTCCTTGCTTTTCCCACCTTGCGTGGCTCTACAGTAGTGATGACCGTGGCGTCGATGAAGGGTTTTGGCCTTTTGGCAGTGTCTTCGATGAGAGAATGCCATTGCCGTGGCAAACCAACAAACTTTTGCTCCTGCTCGTCATAGTCTGTATGTACGCGATGCTCAAAGTTTGATGGAGAGGAGATCTGGATCCGAGACTTTTTCTTTTTGGTGAACATGATGGCGGCTGAGGCAGCTGCAGCCTAGCATCAGACCTGCAGGGAGGAGCGAGGAAAGAGAGGATGGTTAGCAGGAAAGACTGAGAATACATCTAAATCTTGTGGCATATGTAAAACAAGCCAAACATGCACTACGATATAAGTTCAGAAATCACTCAATACTTGTATTTGCAAAACTCACATCACCATTATACAAAAAATGTGCTCGTGTGTAGTTCAGGAAATAAATGACCATCAAACTTGTTTATTTCAGCCCATTGAGCACTAAGCTGTGTACTGGCATTAAAGCAGATGTGACCTTTATCTTAAGGTCATCAGCAGGCCCAACAATAGGCTCAGTGCTGGCCTCTAAATACTAATGACAGGACAACTGCTCCTGCTCCAGCATTTCCTAATGGGCATAACAATGTAACCAGCCTGAAGGGGGGTGACATCACAGCAGCAAACTGAACGAGACATTTCCTCGTCATCACTTGCAGCTTTTCTTCCCGTCTCATGCTACTATGACTGTCACTCTGTGTAACTTCCTGTACAATACACACTATTGTGTACGTATTAGACTGACTACAGTCTAGTTGTAGGGGTTACTGGCTGTAACATAAACCAGAAGCACCCTTTATTATGTATTATTCTCCAGGGAAAGTGGGAGGATGCGTCTGAGAATTTGTTCCTAGCCCTGGTATTTAAACATATTGCCTGGTGACATTTACCTTTGAGGACAACTTGATATTTGATGGCTGCAACAAGGATGGCATTTATGGCGAGGTGCTATGAATATCAACTAGGAGGACCAAATATCAGGCACTCAACACCTTGTCTCTTGCCACAGAAGACATTGTGAGATGTCACTGTAGGAAAAGTACAGCAATAACTGATGTTAGTGTTATTCAATTGTTTTATTTATAACATCCTTACTTTTCATACGATTGTTTCTATTTCTGGGGAAGTGTGGGTAAAAGATCCTGCAAAATAGGAAGGTTTGTTCTTCAAATTTAACATAAAGACGTCCAGTGTTGCACTCTGAAATGCACCTGTTTCTACTGCCACACATTGTACAGATATAAATCAATGATCATAGCAAATGCATCATCACGGACGAACCCACATGATGAGTACAACAAAATGATTCTGCTGCCGTTGTGGTAAGCTTGAATAATGAACCTGCAGATGTAGGAAGACTTCTGAAATAACAAACTATCCTGTTTAACACAGAGCACACCGCTCACCGTTTCTGGCTTGAGTCTAAACCATCTCCCACTCAACCTTGCTGTTTGTCAGTGGGAATCAAAGGAGACACTCCCAGTAGTCAAACAGAGGCTGGATAGAGATCAGTGTGTTATGAGCAAAAGCAGGCCCTGCTGGGCAGCTGACCAGAGGGGCCAACAGGAGCGGAGGGGCCTGTTGAGTTCTGCCAGAGCCTTCTCTTATTGTTTTTCTATCAAATACTGTGTCAAAGAACAGAAAACAGGGGAAGTATAAAACAAGACAGTGAATAAATGCACGGATGTGAGGAGTAGAAGGAGGACGGTGGGTGGATGAGCTGAGTAAAGGTGGATCTGGGCGGGTCATCAGTTAGAGGTCATGAGTCGTGCTGCAGAGCTGACAGTGTGCAGCATTAATAAAGCCTTCTCCCAGCAGGAGCGTTTGAAGTCAAGCAGGACCCGCCCAGGAACACACCAACAAAAGTGGGGATCATAGCCAACAATGACGGCAACAACACACAACTTCAACACTGCTAAAAACAGTAATAAAAAATAAAATAAAAATCAGGATTCATTGATAATATGGATATATTTATCATATGTGCACTTGACTTTTGGTTACTAAATGGTGCAAAGCAAGCAGGACATTAGTTTATACACCAACCCACCTACCAATTTCTAGCATTTTCACACACATGTAAGGGGTAAGGTCAGAAACAAACAACTCTGTTTTATCCTCAGGCATGGGGCGTTTATCATGAATCTTAATTCATAAGCTTGGCTTTTAAACTAATATCTAATGCCATAACTTCATAGTGAGAATGTATGTCAAAGTGTGTTTCAGTGAGTTTTCTGTGACAGAGCACCCCTATCTGTTGAACACATGTTGCTCTCACTGTCATCCTTAAGTGTTTGGTGAATAAAGCTACATTGCAGCAGGTCTAACACAATATAAAGACATTTTTCGAAATAAATTAAATCAGATTGTTCACTATTGATACAATGCCAGTTTCTTCATATTTAAAAAGTGATTTCACATCATTAAATTATCCATTACCACATTACATGTTCAGTTACTCAACGTTGTTACCAACTCTGGATTCTATAACCCTAGCAAAAGTATGTAATAGCAGAGGCGTTACAACACTAATGATAAATGCCTCTTTCCAGTCCTAATGAGTGTGGTGACAACAGAGCAGAGGGGTATACATCACTGAGGAGGACTATCATTAGTGTTTGACTGAGACAGCAATACAGCCAATCAATGCATGTGAGCTCTGGGACACATAGCAACTACTGCCTTTTAGAAGGATACAACTAATGAAAAGTGGAATAGGTGGCAGGAGAAATCATACTACCTACAGAGTACAATAACATGAACCAATACGTTTGTATATGCAGGCACCTATGATTAGAACCACAATTGGCAAGACGAGAATAGTTAGAGCTGTCAGTTAATGTTTTGAGTTGTAATGTTTTATAGAATGCGTAAGGAGCTTTAAACAAAGCGTAAATCAGTCACGTTGGTATTGAGAATGACATTGTGAGTCTCAGAGTTACAGACAGCGGTCTGGCGGGGGATCATGGAGGATTGCTGCATTCAAATTCATGGCTTCTTTCTGCATCTGGAGATATCTGCAACTCTTAGCTTGAAGAGTAAGGTGCAAAACAAGATGTTACTGCTGCTGTCAAGAGCCAAGACCAGCCAATAAAGTTTCAATGTTACGTAGGCAAAGAGCTAACAGATTGCAGAGCTCTGACCTCAAACTGTTTGTTTTCAGAGAGAACTTAGAGTTGACTGTTTGAAGTATGAATAAACATAAAGAGTGGGAGGGCTTTACATCTCGGTCTGCAATTCTGTAGACCAGGGGTGTCAAACGTACGGCCCGCGGGCCGGATCAGGCCCGTGAACAAGTTTAATCCGGCCCGCGAGATGATTTTGGAAAGTATAAAAAATAAAAAGAGCTGCAATTTTTCAATGAAAGAAACTGCTGTTCTAAATGTGTCCACTGGGTGTCGCAATAGCAATTATGTGAAGCGAGCAAACTATGTATAACGGGGCTGAGGAAGTAATCCTGTGTTTACAGTCTATCGTGCTTGGCTTCCTCACTCCCCAAAATGTCGCTATCAAAAAAGAGAAAAGTGGACACAGAGTGCAGAGTTTTCCAAGAAAAATGGTCATCCTCCTATTTATTCACGGAAGTGAATGGGAAACCCGTGTGTTTGGTTTGTTCGCAGCACGTTTCAGTGCTGAAAGAATATAACCTTCGTCGCCACTATGAGACTCAACATGCCGACAAATATGATAACTTGAAAGGAAAACAGAGAAGCGAAAAGGTGAAGGAATTGCTGGCGGGTCTGAAAAAACAGCAGTCTGTGTTTACTCATAGCCGAGAAATCGGCGATGCTGCAGTGAAAGCCAGCTACCTTATTGCTAATGAAATTGCAGTGGCTTCAAAACCATTTAGCGAGGGTGAATTTGTGAAGACATGCATGCTGACAGCTGCAGAGATTGTTTTGCGGCCCCCTGACAAGCGTCTGCTTTTGAAGTTATCAGCTCTGACAACATCCACAGTTGCACACAGGATTTCTGCATCCATTTCGGGGTTTGGACATAAATTCAAACGCACTGGTCTGCGTTTTTTATTTCATGAATTTCAGTTCAATTTCGCTGTCGCACGTAAACATCAAAAGAAACGCCTTCAGCACATATGCATCGGCGGAGTTAACCATCTTTGACCCTACCGGGTGTGGAGTTGGTGTAACGGACAGGCGTAGTGTGCTCCCCCTTTATCTCTGAGCAAGGTTGGTCCAAACTGACGGTGATTCAAGCCTCTTGATCGGATGAAATTAAAAAGTTTGGACGACCACCTTTTTCATGAAGTAATCCATCTTTAATACCCTTTGCAACACAATGCCCCTCCTGGTGCCAAATGGAGGAACGTGATTTCTTGGACTTTTCCACTGTATTTTGCACCAGGAGGGCATTGTGGGTTGCAAGTCCATTAAAGAATGGATACACGTCAAAATGAAAGGTGGGTCCGTCCAAACGTTTAATTTCATCCGAGTCAAGAGGCTTGAATCACCGTCAGTTTGACAACCCTTTCTCCAGAAGATAAAGACCACAAACTACGGCCTGCCCTTAAACCACAAACGAGGTAGATGGTTAAGCCGAGGCATTTGTGCTGAGGCCGTTTTTCTTTGGATTTACGAGAGGCAAATTTGAACAAATTCCATGAAACAGAAAGGCAGACCAGTGTTAAAGAATTTAAGTCCAAAGGAATGGATGCAGGATTTTGCCCGTTCCATGGTGGATCGTTCACAGAGCAAAACCTTTGAAATAACCTTGAACACAATGCCTGCAGGGGCGCAACAAAGTTGTTAACGCAGGTATTATGACAGCCGTATGTGCCCCTTCAAGTGAGCCTGTCCTGGTGGGGACCCGCCAGCTGCGGAGGTGATGCAGCGCCTTTCTTGTCTGAAAAATGTGGTTGGGCGGATTACCCAACATGTCCCGCAGACAGTAAGCGGTTCAAAGATAACTATAGGACTATTGCGGGGAGTTTGAGCAACCGCTTTTCAGATTTTTGGTGAACTGGGAGAAAGACTTCAAAGTTTCTGCTCGCATACACCGCGATGCCTCTGAAATCTGCCCCGTCAAACATTCCAACTTGAAAATAATAAGGACTTGCGGTGTGACCTCCAGATTTGAAAGGAGGAAATTGGCTGCAGCTTTGGCTTAAACCAGCATTTTATCAGTATCTTTCTTGCCAGGTTACCCAACTTGACAGCCCCCTTGCTGAAAAAAGTGTTGGCATGTTTGGAAACCACGTAAAGTTATTGTTGGAGCAAGTTTTTTCCTCTGTAATGGATCATCATAAAAACAAAGCCTGTCGCTCAAGGCTCCACGCACAACACTTAAAATGACATCTGGAAATTGGGCCTTGCCACTCAGGCTTTGACCCCCTGGAATATTTGATGCACTTGTGAAAGCTAAAAGATGCCAGGTTTCAGGAGCAAAAACAACAGTGGGTAACCCAACTTAAAATGCTGCATAAGACACTGCACCCTGATATAGTTATCTAAAAAATGATTGTCTTCTGTGCAGATTGAAAGAAAGTGAACAGTGTGTGATTTACTGTAATAATGACAGTAACTTCAGTTCATAAGTTAGGTTTGTTGAAATTGTTCATGCATTGCACAGCTTTTATTTATCAATAAGTAATGTAGCCTACAAGGCAGGAAGTAAGTAACTCAACCCTCTTGAAAAGTTTCTACCTCAATTTGTCTCAATCATTTGGTGAGTTAGTACAGGATTAATATGTTAAAATGACAAATTAGTTATTTGAGAAGAGTTTTTGTATTTTGTTCATTCCCAGTATATGACTTAATGTTGTTGTATGGCTTTTTGTTGATACGCCAAGTCTAAATGTGCTTGTACTGTTATTGCACTAAAGTTCACTAAACTTAAACAAAGAAAACAATCTGAAGTTGTCGTCATTTTTTTGTTATTATGCTATGATTTTACCGCTCCGGCCCACTTGGGAATAGATTTTCCTCCATGTGGC